TTTGTCTCTTATATTACACAATTCAAATGAAATATTTGCAGTTTTTGATAATATTTACTTTAAACTAAAAGATTGAAATCTTATATTGTTTTCAATCACAACTCCTCTTATTGAAGAAAAAAAGAAAGTTCTAAGTTTAAAATATGTAACCAGAGCTGAAAACTTTAGAATGTGATATCCTTAATCACAATTACTTAATCTGAGTATCCAATGGACACACTTTTGATTTTCTTAAACCGTTATTTCTTTGATATATAGTAGAGAAAAATCAAAAACCGATTTTTTTTAAATTATGAGACTCCCTCCCGTTTCTGTATATAATCTTAAATGGCGCGCAAAATTTCAAATTTATCAGCTTCATATATGCAACTCTGATTGGTTGAATTTTATACACGTTTCAGGATACAAGTACATGATTAGGTAAGTCTCGATATTAAGAAAGATAGGGAATCAAACATTAATCTCGATATCCACCATTCTAAAGTTTTCAGCTCAGATAAAATTCTGTTCTTTTACTTCTTCTTACTTCGAGATCATAAAGTGGTATCTTAAATGTTGCATAAATATTGTATTCTCCAAAATAGCTTTTATTTTGTAAAACATGTCACAGAAACACGATGACGCCATTTAAATCTGCGTCATCATATATTTTAAGCTCTTATTATTTAGACATTTCAAAAGAATCGCAGTGTGCACTTCGACCTTCTACATTCAGTATTCCTCCAATTCTGCAAACACATATATGTGGTTTCAGAAATTTACTTTATTACAATGCATACCCGTAGTTTTCCAAACCTGACCTATTCCTAGCTAATCAAATTCTGTTATCAATTTCTCATATCTAAAATTACATATCTATATAGATAAAGTAGTAATCTCTGTTTGTATGTCTGTCATAGTTAACTTCGGTTAATTTCAAGTACCGTACCCACTTTCAAGGAGCAAGAGCAAGCTATACTGTACACACACAGTACAGTGAGCCCATTGAACGAATTCTGATGGGGGAACTCGGTAGAACCACGGATATGTTCTAGTTTGAGTTAGCAAACCTGGGTTAACAAACTAGTCTTTGATACATACAACCATAGTTTAACTCACTGGTGTCCACTCCTGTATGCCGAGCCCATTAGAGCCTGATCCAATCAGGGTTCAATCACGTGTTTGATGTCTATTCTGAACCAATAAAAATAGTATGGCGGTAACATCTATCTTTCTATCTATCTCATCCAATTAGAGTTATGAATCTTTTAATTAGCACTATCTGTAAATGGAAATATTTAATTCTCCTGAAACTGTAGTGTGTCGATTGTAAGTAGTTTAGTAACTATATTTAAGTCTACATTTTAAGACTACTAGGCTATCAGGGCGTTTAGCGCCAATATTCTATTTCAACTTTTAATTGTTGCTCAGTCCTTCATCATTTTTTCTTAGATAAACAATAATAATCTTATTTTGCGGATTTAAATGTTGTTTTCGTGGGTTTTCAAATTTATACAAAAATCTAATTTTTTTTACAGACAACTTTGTGTACTTCATGAGCATTCATAAAACTTCCCTAGGGTCATGTCANCAAACAGACTATTTACAGCATTAGACTTGCAAAAAGACTATTTACAGCATTAGACTTTCAAACAGACTATTTACAGCATTAGACTTGCAAACAGACTATTTATCCAAATCTATATCTGAGTTCACAATACAGTTTATAGTACATAAAGAAGAACTAAATAAGGTAAATAATCTATTAGATTTTTATGAAAATAGAAAATATGAAAGAGAGAGTAAACAAATTATTTATTACTTACAATTTATTCGCCGTCATTCTTAATGCTGAAAAACAGTGTGTCAAAGAAACAACAGAAACTGCAGATGAAAGCAAAATTCTTTATACATTTAAACTTTTAATGACATTGTTAAGATCTTTTAAAACATTTGTATTTTACCTTCACGTTCTTTTAAAGCATTCTCTGAAAAAGTTAAGGCGTTGAACTCCTTTGATTTTAATTATACCCCTTGCTTAAGATTCTTCTAAAAATCTAAAAATTACTTTAAGAATTTCCAGACAAGAAAAACCAAATAGTTTGCTATCATATTCATGTTAACACTGTGATTTGTTTAAGCAACATTTTAATATGATTACAAAAAGTTAGCTTTTTTTCCACACTCTAATCTGTCAAATTGTTATGGATAGTTTGCTGTGTATGAAGTAATCATGATGCAAGTTCTCATAAATTATTATTTATGAATTTTATTCAATTAAACTTTATATTTTCATATTCTGAGCAAATATTAAAATTATAAAAAAGTATGTTTTTAACAACCCTGTTAATTTATTCTTTGTAGACCCTCAAATAACCCTCTATGCCCGTCATACAACGGTATCCTTAAAAACTTATTTGGATAGAAAATTTGAAAAATCATGACGTGGTTTACTGACTTAAAAGGTGTTTAATTCCGATAGTTTCTCCTTTGTTTTTTATTAGCAAGAAACCACAAATAAAAATAAACAGTTAAAATAATCAGCGTTCAATGCGATGCAAGGGTACAATTGTAAATCAGGCATTGTCATCTTTGCAGTGAGGGTCACTTGAAATTACGCTTACAGTCCCTTTAATAAAGTTTTAAATATTCTTAACAGATCTCTTTTAGTATTTAGAGAGCGTAGAAGAATACTTGAATCCAGGGGAGGATAGTTCTAACATTGGAACCAGGTATATTTAATATTTGAGTACAGGGGAGGATAGTTCTAACATTGGAACCAGGTATATTTAATATTTGAATCCAGGGGAGGATAGTTCTAACATTGGAACCAGGTATATTAAATATTTGAATCCAGGGGAGGATAGTTCTAACATTGGAACCAGGTATATTTAATATTTGAATCCAGGGGAGGATAGTTCTTACTTTACTGTAATCTGTTTTTGATATTAGACAAGCATGATTTAGAATTTCCCAAAAAAAAAAATGCATTGTATTCTTTATAGTGTTCATGAACAAACCCAGAAAAATTGTTTTATGTGCTTAGATCAATCTTATCTGAGATAGAAGATGTTTTGGCTTACGGACACAAATATCAACATAGTTTTAACAAACGACAAGTTAACCTGAGGTAAAGAGGCTCATCACAACTAGGTTACATGTGAATGTAAAAGAGACTTAATGGGACTATGGTTGTTATTTCAAGTGAAACTCCATCTGAAAAGGGCCATGTCCAATTCACAACGGTGCCTTTTATTCATGGTCAGGCAAAGCTTTTTAGAGTACCGTGAATCAGTCATGTCACACTACAAATAGAGGCAGGTCATTTGAAATTACGCCTAGATTCCTTTCTGTTGATCAACTACAGGGTGTCTCAATAAACATGGGAATTGAGAGACGATTTAAATATCGTCTTTGATTTCAGATAATTGATAAATGACATAAAGTGCATGAAAAAGAGATTGAAAGTCTAATGAGATTTCCAAAATGTGGTCTATACCTTCTTTTTATCTTTAAAATTGACAAAGATATTAAACATTTGAACAGTTTCGTTAATTTTTAGTAAACAGGAATCTGGACAAATTTCTAATATCTCCGTCAATTTTGAAGGTAAGAAAATGGTAGACCACAATTTGGAAACCCCGAGACTAGTTGTTTTCGGTTTGACATGTTTAAACTGTGATACTGCAAAATTTAGTTTACGAAATAATCCCTCATGGCAAAAAGACGAGATAGAAGTCTTCATTTAATTCCTATGTTTATTGGGACACCCTGTATATTCTGTTTTGGATAAACCATACTAAAGAATATATCGGTACTATTCTTATTCCGATCCTGGAACTGCAGAGGAAACCCTGGATTCCTTTTTAACCCCCTTTTTATACTGCATGAACCGTAAAATAACACTTTCTTGATCTGAAAACAAGAGATTTCTTTAATTATTGTTTTGAGAATCATCGTTACACAATGATGTTGAAACAAGATTGGCTAGAAATAAATCTAAACCTTGAACCACGGGTATTTTTCGATGGTTTCGCGGTTTAAACAGATTCCTTATACAATCCTTACACGGTAAACTGTTCATGGTTCAATAGATATGAGGTAGAGGGTGATACATCAATGTTTTTATACAATCAAAAACAAATGAACACCTAGAATCTAATCTTATATTGGACTTGCACAGATTTCTCTGTAAGTAATTTCTTTAATTAGATTGAAATCCACATTTAGAGCTTTAAAACTTTATATTTTTGAAATCTATATATCTTTATATTTCTGAGTTTTTAGTTTCATAGATTTCAAATATGTTCTTTTTTTGGTGGTTTCTAAGATATTTATATCGTTATTAAATTTAAGATATATAAGTTAGGTGATCGAAACAAATCTTGTTTTAAAGATTTAAAAAAATATATAAAAATTAAGCGCTGAAGATTTTCATTCACATCATTTTTTAAGATCTTGTGTCTTTTTAAAGATTTATTTCAAAAGCTATTTTTGAATTTTCTAAGGAAAATATGGTTCAAGAGAACTCTCGGAATTAATTATTTACAACTACAGGGTGTCTCTAAAAAGTGTATTTACAACTACAGGGTGTCTCTAAAAAGTGTATTTAATTGTACTTTAAAGTGTTTCTCGTAAGTCCAATCGTAAATCGTAAGGGGTGCTAGGTGTTTTCCCAAGGGCAAATTTCCAAAGTGGCAACTTCCCAAATGTGCAATTTCCCAAGAGGCAACTTCCCAAAGGTTAGGTTAGGCCTTTTGAGGCTTGGGAAGTTGCCGCTTGGGAAATTACAAAGTTGGGAAGTTGTCACTTGGGAAAATACCCTGCGTAAGTTGCCGCTTGGGAAATAAACCTTCTTAAAACAGAATTCATAGTTTGAAGTATCAAAGGTCTACGATATCTGGTTGCAAAGATATGGGGACTAAAGATCTGAATTTGTGGCAAAAACTCGTTTCCTTTGCAAGTTCAGTTTATGTTTTTAATAATTGTTTACAAAATGGTTCTGTGAGTACTGCAGGGGGGCTTCTATGAACCTGATTGGTTAAATACAGATCTTATTGGAGATTTTGGAAAGAAGGTTTCCAGTACTGTGAATAAGGTAACGATTAAATATTGCTCCTTAGGAAACATATTTGTCATAAGGATTATACAGAGTACCAGAGTACCAGAGTACCAGAGTACCAGAGTACCTTAATCAAAACTATTTATATCCCCATGTGCATAATCTGATATGAGAATTTTTTACAGACCTTTGGATTTATTTAAATTCTCTTTTTGAACATTTCATCACTTTCATCACTTTCTTGCAAATTTATGCTGAATTCAGACTCGAAATTGATTTTTCTTTGTGAAAGATTTTGATAGATTTTCGTGCGCTAATTCAAATTATTTTCAAAATTTTTAAATAACATGCATGAAATTTTCCAATTAATTATTTTGTATATGTAGTAATTTTTTGATTTAATTTTTGGCCCATTGGAAAATGTTTTTTACTTAAATAATTAAAATTTAGCATAAAGTCTATTTAACATGTTTACTATTGAGATCTGGTGGGCGGTTAGCTGATCACCCAGCTACTAATTATACTTAATCCTTATCAATAATTTCTGAGTAATTATATTTCAGATTTATCCGTTTAATCTGTGCTTAAACTGTTCTAGTTTGCTGCCATGACAATTCAAGAAAACGGCCAGATAGAAACCACAACTAGCGGCAGCCGTTTTCCGTACACATACGTGAGAAAATCAACTCCTAAACCAAAACCTGAAATCGTTTTCAATTTTCCGACAGCAGCGGAGACGAAAATGACGGACAAAACTACGGAGATTAGTGAGAAGAAAACGAAAACAGGAAAAAGAAGAGATGGCGGATTTTCATCTGAAAACGATTTTTTTGCTGAGCTTTCATCTCTCAGGGATCTTTTCATTATTCTACACTCTACACTACACTATACTACACTACACTACACTACACTACACTACAATACAATACAATACAATACAATACACTAAATTACACTACACTACACTACACTACACTACAATACACTACAATACACTTCAATACACTACACTACACTAAATTCGTAACTAATAATGATTAGAGGAAATAAGAACGAGCTAAATGTCGTATTTGTTGACGGAATTCCGACCAGCCAAGCAGATCTGTTGGTTACAACTAAGGAAATCAATATGAAATCCATTTCTTAGTCTGAGTCTCTCAAGCATACAATGAAAACTATAAAGATATTATACAACATGAATTACACTTTAAAAAATATTCGTTTTAGAGTCTAAGTTCCATAAAATATTAATTTTTAGACATCTTACTAGTTTTAACAACAAATCTATATTTTTGTGAATGAATAATATTTGATTTGTCTGCTCTAGTCTCCGTTTGATGTTATCTCCGTAAATAATCTGCTAACACCAGATGTAGATGAGAAAACACGTGTCAAGCTAAACAAGGTATAACTGTGCACGTGTTAAATTAATAGTAATAATAATAATAATAATAATACTACTAATAATAATAATAATAAACAAACGTTTAATCAGTACCAAACTTGTTAAAAAAGACCTTAAAAAAACGTTAAATGTAGGGTTTCCAATGCATGGGTATTTTACTTGCGCGCACGTGAATTTAGTTGCATGCAATTCCGTAACAATTGCGCACATTAGTGCGTAATTTCGTCCAACTTTCTTGCATTTGTGTTTCAATTTTTTGAGAATGTGTAATCTAAGCCTAATGGAACGCACTGAAATCCAGACAACTCTGAAAGTTGGTCATCAAGTTTAAGAAATCCTCGACTTTCAAGTGTCGCACCGCCATAGCCTTTGGTTTTACCTTACAAACTCACAAATACTTTTTTGTAGCACTAAACATATTTAATTAAAAAAGCAATTTACTTGTTTCTAGCGTAAGTTTGATTATTTTATAATATTCATATACAGCATGATAACTAGAAAACTCTGGCAAAAGAAGACGACTTTTAGAGTATAGGTCTGCTTTAACTGAATAAGTTATTTAATAGGTCACTAATTAAAGTTTTTTTTGTTGCTTTATAACGACACTGAAATGCTGTCTTCCTATACCGTGAAGATTGTAACGACACTGTAATGTTGTAATTTTGTCTTCCTATACCGTGAAGATTGAAACGACACTGTAATGTTGTAATTTTGTCTTCCTATACCGTGAAGATTGAAACGACACTGTAATGTTGTAATGTTGTCTTCCTATACCGTGAAGATTGAAACGACACTGTAATGTTGTAATGTTGTCTTCCTATTCCATGAATTACAATTTTAACCACAAAATGTAGTATATCAAATTATTAATTAAATTAGTAGCTTAACCACAAGAAAATTTAAATTGGAAAAATTTCAAGAGACCCTCGATTATTTTAAAATCTACAGAGATAGCTTCTCATCTTTCCATTCTTGTTTCTGCTGCATAAGTTTGTGAGTCATAATTCAAAAGTATTGATTTCTTTTGCCTTTACAAAGCAATTCCACTGCACGCAATTCCCCGCATTTGCCCAATTTTGTGCAATTCCGCACAATTCCACACAATTCCGCGCAATTCCGTAAATATTTAATTGCTTCCCTGTTCGCAATTATAAACCAATCCCGCGCAATGAAATGGCGCAAGATTAAGCAATCATTTCCCGTAACTGCGCACAACGGAATCCCGATTGGAAACCCTAGTTAACTGTACGATTGTCAACTGTATGTAAATAATGAAAAATAGCGTCACCATATATGTTTGCAAAACATACTACTAGTTTTGCTTGCAACTAATTTCGCTTGCAAAATGTAAAAGTATATAAAAATTAAAGTTAAAAAAATAATAATAATATTCATAATTAGCAGAAGTGCCCTGCGTTGCGTTGAAACACTTAAAAAGATTGAATTAATAAAAAAATATTGCATATTTAAAAAAAAATATAAAAAATGTCAGCCAATTTGGTTTAGCAGTTTGACCTGTTATAGCTAACATATATATAAATATATATACAAGAGCAAAATGCTTTATTATATATTTAGATAACAATAAAAAATATCACTACTATGATATATCTAAACCTTTAGAAATAATTTGCTCCGTGGAGTGCAGACTGGGATGAAATCTCTAATGGGAAATCTCAGGTATAGAATTATAGTAAATATAAATAGCAAATATATCTAAGTTTTTAAACTTCACATTTTATTAAAAAATATATATATTAATAGATATTAAGTATATAAATCCGCTTGATCATTTATGTTGGAGCATTGCAATTGGTTTAAATTGGTTTTAAATGGTTGTTTGTGCAATTTTTACAATTAAAAGTGACCAGTCCCTCTATCTGATTTTAGAAACATGTTCGGATCTGTCACTAAACGAATGATGAATGTTCGTCCTTCAATAAATTCTCTTCTTTCCTCCAGTCCTAGTTTAGAACCTATTCTTTCCAACCCCCTCCCCGCCTCCTCTCATCCCACCGCCAACCCACACCCACCCGCCGTTCTTCATACAGCTGTCCACGGCGGAGATAGTGAGCGTTCAATTGGAATAGGAATTAGAAAATTAGGTAAAACAATAAAAAAATGTAGGTATGACAAATTAAATTTTTGCTATCAAAACGTTTTTATTTGCCAAACGCGTTTTATTATAAAATTCAAATAATCTAATTAATTTATAACAATAACTAAACAGATTTTATAACAAAATAAATAATTAAGCCTACCTGCGCATTTTTGACAGTGAATACAGTGCACAACATGATTGGTTGTCAGAAATCTTCAGTGGAAAGTATTTAAATAAAAACAACTTTAAACACTGAGCATTATGATGTTAAAATGATATGTGATATAAAAACTACTATTTTTTATAATTACTAAAGTGTACATGTGCAGTGGATAATATCAAGACGACCTGGCACTTTTGCTAACTAGAAAATTTTGTTTTTTCCACAAACTCTGATTTTCTCCTTTCTCTATGCAACCCGATGTTTTAGACCTTTGATATTTCAAACTAGAAATTCTTTTAGATTAAATAGTCCAAGTTCTAACATCGAGATTGAAAAGATATGAAATTAAACATTTGAGTTTGTTGCAAAAACTCAAACCCTTTAGTTTACACTGTACACTGAATAGCTTAGTCTCATAAACTATATTTAATATAAAGACGACTTGGCGTTATCGACATTATTGGCGTTGAAAAGCTACAAGATTGTGTTTCAAAATCCATCTTTTTACGCTGATTTTTAAGAGCTTCTAAAAAATGTCTGAATTGTAGAAACTGGACTGATTCCTCCAAGATACAAACAGAAAGATATTTCTCTGAAGGAGGATTTCTTTTCCCAGGAAATGTTAAAAATGAGGTAGAATCAATGAAAAATATAATTTCTTTAAACAAATTAAACTTACGGAACTTTTAAGTTACCAAGAAATCATTTTTGCATTGTATTCCATTGTAAAAGAAAATTTTATATGAAATTTGTTTTGCAGAAAATTATTTCCCAGTGAGAAAAAAATTGACAGATCTGGAGCTGATTCCACGGGAACACGTAGAAACACTAGAAAGGTAATAAAATATTTTATATCCCTAAAGTCATCACATTATTTCCCTTGCCCTTCGGGATTTAATGTCCCTAGTGACCACTTTTTTCCACTGGCATGCCTTCAAGCGTGATACAGTCAAAATCATATATAAAGAGGACATCGGAAGAATTTACAGGATGTCGTCTTGAATTCGAATTTGAAGCTGTATATATTACCAATTCTGTTTTTAAAGGTCTTTAGTCAGGTGGACCTGAATCTTTATCTATAAAATAAAACAAGACATTCGTATTTTTAATATATATATATGTTGCCTATAGCCAGCCAAACGGCTGGACCGAATGGGCTGAAATTTTTGTGTACACTCATGGGTGGCCGTGCACATAGGCTAAACAAATTCGAAAATGTTTTTTTTTCCATGGGCAACGCCGGGCCCTTCAGCTGGTCTAAAATAAAAATGTTTAGGAAAAAGTTTCTGAAAATCGGAACTGGAGTTTCCGAGGGAATAGAAGAAGTAATGTTCCGAGTAAAATTATCCGAGGACTGCAGAGGAAAAAGGAAATAGATTCAAGGTCAGAAAAAAAAAATTTAAACCTAAAAAAGTGTATTATTGCAATGTTTATTTATGGAACACTTTTTTTCTGATAAATTATCCGGGACTGAATTAAATGAATTTGAGCTATGTCGCTGAACTATCTATATAACCGTCTATTTAACACTCTAAATATACTTCAGTAATCTGCGAATGAATATATAGTGTGGGTTTAAGCATGGTATTTGTAGCTCTTAAATGTAGTAATTATCTAGAGTATACGGACAAACCATGAATCACCAATTCAAGACATGAGGATTTGTTCATGTTCAGCTTTAGACAATAACTACATTGCAGAATTTGAATTTCCCTATACTACAACTTAATAAAAGGTGTGCTTAAAGGGACTATTAAGGAAAACTGAAAGGGGGTATAGGCTATAATGAAACCCAAGTGACTAAGAAGTTGATTGAAACCCTTGTGAGTTCTATCTGAGGTTCCTGTATCGAGAAATTGATAAAAAACTGTGTCAAATTTATACCAAAATCAGTATATACCAAATGTTGTATAACAATAGTAGGATTAAACAGATCATATTCAGCAAATACGCAACCAATCTGAAAACGACGATATCCCAGAAGAGCCTAAGTAATTTAGGTTTGCTCTTATTATTATTTTATAATTTTAATTTTTCTCATAATTCTCGAGTATTCTTTCATAGAGAATCAAGTTATATCTTTCAAAAAAGAAAAATGATTAAATTCAAATAATAATAGGAGCAAACTTAAGTTGCTAAGGCTCCTCTGGGATATCGTTGTTTTCAGATTAGTTGCGTATTTACTAAATATGATCTGTTTCATTCTACCGTTTTTATACAAAATTTGGTATATACCGCTTTTGGTATAAAGACACAGTTTTTCATCAGTTTCTCGAGACAGGAACATCAGATAGATTTCGCAAGAGTTTCGATCAACTCCGAAGTAACTTAGGTTTCAGCCTATACCCCTTTTCAGTTTTCCTTTACAGTCCCTTTAAAATGCCGATTCTGTGCATAAAAAATCAATGAAATCCGTTATCAAAATTTCTCATGCTGTAGATACTAGATATCATCTTTCTGATTATTGAACAGGAGAAACCATGGAGAGGATAAAAAGAGAAGAGTAGAAGACACAGAGAAGAGTTGGGGAGGAAGAATGGATATAGGAGAAAATAGAAAACAATGGACGGATCTATTAATGTCTCCAACAAATTAGAAATAAGAAAAAAAAATTCGAAATTTACATTTTTAAGGAAAATAATGTTTTCTTTGTGTAGTTAAAAATCTTAGTATAGACAATTTTATTTTTATGATTTTTATTTATTATTTTAATAAAATATTTTCATAAGTAAATCTAGCCTGCCATTGTATTTCATATTGTAATGTAAAAATTGCACTAAATATGGTTTTGTAAAATCAGACTTAATTACTTCTTTTCAGGACAAATGTGTACTGTATGTATATGTAACGTGAACGCTCAACGTTAACGTTAACGTTAACGGTGCTTATATGATTATATCTATCGTTAACGTACATCTTACGTTAGCGTTTTATGGCAACTAGGCTTTTAGGGCGCTTCGCGTCCATCTTCTATTTAAATTGTGAACGTGTTCTTTTGTTTACATTTTAAAACAAAGAAGAAAAAAATTTTGCGGAATTTTAAAAAAAAATTCACGGATTTTCAAGAATTTAAATTTTTTTACAAAATTAAAAACCTTTAAAGCACATTTTTTTAAAGATTTTTATCATTCATAAACCTGCCCTGTGGTCACTTTATGTCCCACAAAAAATTTGGGCCCGATCGGTTCAGCCGTTTTGACGTTTATTGGATACAAACAAACAGACAGACAAGCCAAATTTATATATACACTGGGCTTTTAGGGCGCTTCGCGCCCATCTTCTATTTCAACTTTTAATTGTGGCTTTATCTCTGAACATCTTCTCTTTGTACAGTATAAAACAAAAACAAAAAAAGTTTGCGGATTTCATAATATTTTTTGCGCATTTTCAAAATTTTTCAAAAATAAAAAAACTTTTAAACACAAATTTTTAAAGTTTTGATCATTCATAAACCTTCCCTGAGGTCACGTGAGGTCCCACACAAAATTTGGGCCCGATTGGTTCAGCCGTTTTGACGTTTATTGGATACAAACAAACAGACAAACAGACAAACAGACTAACACCAAGACAAGCCAAATTTATATATAGATGTAACGGTATTTTTCTAATATTTGCATCGTTTTGGAACATAACGTAAAGAAATGTTTTGTTTCAATGTGGAGCTTGAAAATCTAACGTTTGAAAAATCAATTGTGATTTGATAGCATATCTAATGAAAGAATTTCTATTTCTAAGTTCAAATTTTAGAAAGTGTAACGTTGTATAACTAAAAATGCATTTCTGTTTATATATTTCAATAGTGCAACGTTAAACATTAAAAAAGATGTAATTCTGTAAATCAAAACGTTTCATAAATTTTCTTTAAATACTTAATTGATAAGTCTAACATTTTATATATGTCTGATGAAAATGTTGTTATAAAACGGAAGGTTATGAGGGCTGAGTAAAAATTTCAAAATTGTAACAATAATTCTGCCAATACAAAACGTTTCAAAAATCTATTAATGTAAGAGAAGACTGATGAATGTGACAGCAAAGACTAATGGTTTTTCATTTCAAGTTTAAAAAGAAATGAGTTTATGCCGCAAACTCCAATAAAGTCGTAGACCTTTGATATTTAAATATCAAAGGTTTAAACCATCAGGTTGGAAAGATATAGAGTTTAGTATATTTGACAAAAACTTAGTTCCTCTCTAAAGTGTAAACTAAAAAAGCCTGATACTGAATAAGTATTCTGATTTGTTAAATAAAGGCAGGTGTAAACAGATTATAAACGGGACTGTTTTTAGTAAAAATTAAAAATTTTGTAACATGCTAAAATTAGTGAAAATTCAAGTCTTTTAAATGTTTCTGGGACATTACTTTATCTTTGCAACCCGATGTCGTAGACCTTTAATATTGATATATCTAAGGCTTTAACCATCAGGTTGGAAAGATTTAGGGATTAGTATATTTGACAAAAACTTAGTTCCTTTCTAAAGTGTAAACGATTTTTTTGTAACATGCTATTAGTGAAAATTCAAATCTTGTAAATGTTTCCTGGACATTTTTGGTTTTTGATTTGCCATTGTTTGATGGAACCCTCTCAAACTCTGGAAAAGGAAGACGACATTTAAGACATTTTATATATGCATTTAATGTTATGAAGCAAATGACTTACTAATAGCAAAAAATCAACTTATTAAGTGGAACGGGTGTACAGTGTACACTACACAATTGCTGTGTTTCATGTTTATTGGACTATGTGAAATCATAACTTTAGTTGGTAAGGTTCATGTTTTAGGTGGAAAAATCTAGAAAAAAAAATATTTATTAAAATTCAAAATTTTTTATCAATTGGAAAATTCGTGTTATTTTTAATTATCAAAAGATTTTTCTGCACTAAAATGTATTGCAACGTGCAGAACTATGTCTAAAGGGCGTTTTTTTAAAACAAAATGTTTGTCGCCATTTAGTTCTAAAAACAAGTGAATTTGTAACGTAAGGTAACTGAAAACATTTACCGAAAGTGGAACGTTAGAAAATTGGGGTTATATAACTAAAGCTTTAAAACAGGAAATGCAAAAGCGTAACGGAGCTAACTTAATTTTACCAAAGGATGTAATGCAAGGAAACTTATTTCAGAAGTGTACACATCTTTTGTACTGCAGTGCACTGTCGCTGGGCGGTAATGTAAACAAAAGACGGATGTCAAAGCCTGACATGGGATCCATCTTTCACATAAAAAATCAATGAAATATTCTGGTCATAGGAAACTATTATGTGAATTATCAAAATTATCAAAATTTAATGCTTTTAACCTCCTCGGATACTAAACGAACACTGATGCATCTATT